AGTATCGTAGCAGCAACTTTGCCTGCAAGAAATGGACATTATTTACGCTAAGCCTTATATCAATGATAATAACAGGGTTTGTAATGATAGCCTTTATACTCATGTTTTCGGCCGTCGCACAAATGGGCGATAAACTGGACAAACAGTCGTGGGGTTCAATGACATCGGGGTCTCAATCGGGGTCGCAATCGGGATCCATCTCAATGTCAGGATCAGGCTCTTCAGGCAGTGATGGCTCCACTTCTCTCATCAGTTTTGGAAACGATCACAATTCGGCAAAAGACAAACAAACTTCTGATGTTTCCCCTTCTGTAATTTACAAATTTTAACCAGTCTCATTTTATTCCACATACAGTATATGATTTATATTACAAAATTATAACAATTATTAATTTAACACTTAGATCGCTATTATGATTGTGGTTATTGTATGCGCGATGGTGTTGGCTATTCAATCAATCGGGGTGTTTGGCACCTATAAGGAACACTATTGTCTGTCTATGACATACGCTATATTATTAACGTTGGGAACTGTGAGTTCATTTGGTTCGTGCTTCAAAGATACAACCTACATCGGTTCCTTTGTATTTAATCTACTCGTAACTATTCTGGCCTTCTCGTTTGTCAATGATTTGCGTAAGCCGACCATGCTACAACAGCACCCCATGACCACCATTACCGTTCAAGCGCCCCAACCTGGTCATATGAACCCCACTTACTATGTTAATCAAGGATCTAGTTATCCTAACCATGGTGATTGGAAAGTTCCACCTGTTTAAATCTATTTTTGAATAAATTATTTAAACAATTTATTGATAAAATAACGACTATTTTATAGAACCACATACAAGGTTTTATTAATAATTATATTTTATAAATTGTTTATTTTATCAAAATGTCCATTATAAAATTACAAGACAATGCTTATTTTATGTTTAAATAAAGTTAAATTTTCAACCATTGATAGTATTAACTTAATACAATTAATTTATTTTGGTAATTAAATATTCAGTTTCTAGTTTAACATAATTTATGTTACATAAACTATTTCAATATACAGTACAGTATTTCATTAAAGATTGAACGTGATGTGATACAGGTTTAAATGTGGCCTTTCTGCTTTATTGACCCCACAGGGTTTGCTGCTTAGACCATATTTTAGAGTTCATTATAAAATTACCATTAAATTTGTATTTAACAAACGTTCATGGTTGTATAAGCTGTGTTCAAATTGAATTTAAATGATTAAAATAAATAATAATAATAAATATTTGAAGTTTAAAAGGAGNAACCTATTATGTGGAGATGTAAACAACTAAATAAACATTGAATTGAATGAAAATTCTTAAAAATTTTGTGTTTACTTAACGGGTAATCAAAGTTTTAAAGAAGAAAGGAGAGAGAGAGAGAGAGAGAGAGAGAGAGAGAGAGAGAGAGAGAGAGAGAGAGAGAAATTTATAAAAACGCGAAATTTCACACAATATGAACAAACAGTTTATTAATTTGCAAATTCGTTGTTTACAAAGCGTTAAATGATTTGATGTCTGAGTTAACGAACGAAACATTGAAAACTATATTTTATTTTTATTTTCATTTTTAAGCAATTTTAATTTCGATTACAACAGAGTATATGAGATAATAAAATAATAACGCGTGCATTTGAAATGTGGAACTGACAAAAAATTAATTTATTGGTCAAATTTAACCGAAAATTTTTTAAAAATTTAACCGAAAATTTTTTAATGCTGATTTTATTTGAAAGGCTATTTATTGAGTGACAAAACAATGTCATTCATTTGTCTGTATGTCCTGTGGTTTAGGAGTAATCCACTCCCGAAGAAGTCCACTCCCGAAATAGCTTTTAAATGATACCATTATTAATGTAGATATTTTTGAATAATTTGTTAAAGAACATAATGATTACTTAAGTAGAAATCCAACAGGCACAATTATAAAAATTAAAGATCAAATATTTATTATATTGTAAAAGTTGTGACAAATAATTTTTAAAGATATTAATTTAAAAATCAAGTTAAATTTTATAAAAATAAAAAGCGTTTGCTAAACCTACCAAATTAAATTTAAATATTGCCACTTACCCGCCCAGTATTTTTATTAGAAATTTATATTTTTATGCACATTGTACTTATAATTTTGATTAGAATTTGAACCTATTTTCACCGAGAATAGTGCAAATAACATCCTAATTACAAATTGAATTGAATACTAAAATCATAATAATGTTTAGAATTCAATTTTCTCGGCCATCAAATACCCTGATAATCGAATTTCAAAATTTAAAAATGAATTACTAAATAATTCATTTAATATGAACAAAATATGATAATTATTAAAATAAATTATATTTAAAGGCAGACATTAATTATGAAATTATAATAAATAAATCCCTAAATACTAGAATATATGAGTTGTTTGATAAGGTGTTGTGTTGGGTCAACCACTGGCAGCCGGTGGTAGCGATTTGGTTACGTTTTTGTTGGCAACGGTAACCGCCGGTTGCGGGGGTTTAACGGCGCCGGCGTTATTGCCGGCGGCCGAGGGTTTGACAGTCTTTGGCGGTGCGGGCGTTGAGCATATTTTCTGTGGCTGTTGGTAGACGAGAGCCCACAGGCGGCGTATATCCTGTGGTGTGTGCTTATGACTGGTCATTACGCGCCGAAACACACATTCGTCAATGTTTGTGATGTGAGTGTTGCGAAACATGGCGTGATTCAGGCGCCGGATGCCCGCTTTCTCCGCCACTATACCAGTCATATACACGTCCTCTAAATACATGGGCCGCTCCTTAATGCTGGTCTCGTATAGGGGTTGAGCGGCGTCTCCCGATATCATATACGCCGGTCCGGTGGCAAAGGTTGGGAATGTAGTGCCGTTGAAGGCACGGGACGGCACATACCACTTGTTGTTCGTGTTTCGGTGCGGTTTCCACTTTTTGGCCAATTTTCCTGTTGGTAAAAACCGACAAATATAACCTTAAATGCTAAAATGTTTTAAACATAGGCAATTACCGATAATGCATTTGTTGAAATTTCTGGTTTCACTAAAATCAGTAATGTGTTGCATATTGACAAACATATCGTCGTCCACTTTGAGCACATACTTCACTTTAGAGCACCGGTCGGTCAACCACTTCATCATCGATATGGTCTTAAGTGTGAGATTGAAGTAATTGTCCACATATTGGCCTTGCAGTACATCGCCGTAACGTTCATCCTCTTGGATAACCCGTAACTGTACGTTAGGGTCCACTGAACTGCCCAACAGATACAGCACATACGCCCCCCTCTCTACTGCGAATCGACCCCATGTGTCGCGAATAGCCTGTCGGGCGTCCCAGTGGTCAACAGCCGAGTTGACTACAACGAGGAGATCGAGGGATGCGCCCATGTCATCGTCGCAACCCTGGGGTTTGTCAATCAGCATGTGTTCAGTGGTGGACAGGTCTTCGGTGTCAAATACCAGCTTTGGTTTAAATCGTATTTTTGTCAACTTTTTCTCGTTTTCGTTATTCTCTAAACTGTCCATCAGTTGCTGTTTCTCATTACTGGCCACATCTGTGCCGCCCTTTACAGCGCCCACCACTTTGGCCACTCCCTGGCCGTCCACATCAATGTTGATCTCGTTTTTTACGGCATTTGTGTCTTTTATTAAATTGCTTTTACTGCTGTTTGTGACCGTCTTTTTTAATAGAGGGGTAGGCTTTTCGGTGGCCAATACGCTCAACGGCGGCCCTTTTGTGGCCTCGTATGGACCGGACTGTTGCAGTAGGGGTTTGATGTCCAACACATCGTTATTATTAAGTGAAGGCACATAATCGCTAGAGTCGGCCATTGAGTCCCCAATTAGTGGAACTGAGGCTTGAGATGTGCTGCTAATACGCGTCTGCACTCCTATGCTTGATAACTGCGGGGGCGGTGGGGGTGATGGCGATGAACCAGGTATTACTTGCGTATCCATAATACTGGGTTTAGACACCGGTATATTAGTATCACTATTAATGTTATTATCACTATTGAGTACACTATCAGCCGTTGACTTAACAGCCGATAGTTTATTATAAGAAGTCATTAAATTGTCTAATAAATTATTTATTGTTTGATTAGAGTTATGTTCACTGGCTATCAGCCGCAGCCGGTGCTGGTATTCAAGCAATTTCTGTTGTGATATCATTAGCCGAGCACCCGATGCTTGGCTTAGACTCGATGAGTACCGGGATATGGTGACCATTGTGGCCACAATGCTGGTCAACCCTAACAGGGTTATCAGCCGATGTCTGGCCATTCTGTGCATGTTTATATATTTGCCCACTAATTCTCCGCTATATCTCTAACTTGGTTGTCATTAGATATAGAGTTGGGAATGGATGGCAATGGTATTGCATGAAAGGATTGCGTGCACCAAATGATTAGACTATTTGCCAGTTTAATAGGCAATAGAATAGGAGGGAAGAAAAGAAAGTGGAAGTTGTGTTTTATATCACAAATTTCAATCACCGGTTGTGTTGTTGTGGGAAAAGGGATAGTCTGTTGACTGGTCTGGCCGTCGATCTCTCTGTATATCAACACATTATGGGTAAACCACACGCTATGTATCGTCACAATAGATGTGTGCCATAAGTGCACTAGAATTACCACAAGAACACGATTTTGGTTCAATTTCACTGTCAATTCAAAATACAATCAATATTATTTATTATGATCATGGTGTTTTGTATATTAAGTTCACATGTAATTTATTTCGCATTACTTTAAATAATTTATCATTTTATTATTAATTTATACCGATTTTTATATATAGTATTTTTATCTTATTAAAATGAATTTTTAAATATTTATCATCATAAAACTTATTATGAATTTAATTTAAAATGTGTGCATAAAATAATATTTAACACTTCTTAAAAATAACATCAAAATGTTATTTCAATGTTATTAGGAATAAGTTATTACAACTTCAATGTGAACATATTTTTACGCTTCTGATGAAACACTAACTTTATATTTATAAAAAAAATTAATTTATAAAAATAATTTGAAAGAATATCATCAGTGAAACAAAAACAATGATATATTGACAATAATAGTTAGAATTATTAATAGCCAATGATTTCATAAAATCAATTTAAAATACAATTAGCAACACAACAGACTTAATGTATTTTCATGTTTTGAGGCACACAATGACTTCAGACACTAAGCATTTTACTACAGTATCTTATTTCCTACAATGTATTCGCATAAGACTTACAAATAATTGCTGTATTTGTTAATGTATTTTATTTTCCTTTAGGTTTCTCAACAAATAGAAAACTTTCGCTTTTGTTTCTCAATAGTATTAATCCTATGAGAGTGAGTGAGTGAGTGAGTAAGAGAGGGAGGGAGAGAGAGAGAGAGAGAAAGAGAGAAGGTCTGAAAGAAGGATAAAAGAGGTCTAAATGAGGGGAAGAATGGCTAAAGTCGTGATTTGACGTCATTTCTCTTACACTGTATTAATCACAATAATGTATAAAACCTTATAATAAAAAATATTATGCATTGCATTAATGAATGGGGAAAACATTTACCGAAATATAGACATTATTCTTATAGAGTTGTGTATTGAAGTCATTTACAGAGAACTTGAAGTGCAGTTATATTTCATATTTTTTAAATATAAATATACAGTAACTGAAAGATTATTATTATTTATTAAAATATCATTATAAATAACAATATTAATAAATTTTTACAATAGTTATATTACATTAACGATGCATATTTTAAATTGTTACAAAATTCAATTATGGTCTTATAAACAAAACAATTTAATTAAATTGACAATTATAAATATTAAGTTATATCTAACATAAACGTAATTAATTAAATTAAAATGGAATATGCTTTTTATTAAATTTATTTTATTTATATAATTAAATATTCTAAGTTAGTTAACAAATTCCTATTTGTGAAACTTATATGCCTAAATTAGCATAATATTAAATGTACACTTGTATTAATTGCTAAATAAACAAATCTTTAATAATTTCAAGTTAAAATATTTATGGGAATTATGCAAAAAATTATTTCACATATTTATATAATAGAGAGAAAGTATATTAATCTTATATCTCTTATAACCACTACATTATAAATGCTGAACTTAAATTACTCTAGATGCTCATTTTATCATTGGGACAAAATCCCAAATAAAAAACAAATGGATTCATAAAATAACATTAAAAAACTTTTGACTTAAATTAGGGGCTCATCTGTTGTGCACCACAACACATACACATCGTATAAATCTATGCGATGTACAGCTGAATAGGACAGGTATTTTCAGTCCCTCCTTACAAAAAACTAACATATAATGTATACGCGTATATATGAAACCAGTTTTGATGCAATTTTTTAGGAGTTGTTAAGAGCGAAAGGCATAGAAGACAATATTTTATGAGAAATTTTATTTCTTTAAATAAATTGCTGCTTAAAGTGAACTGAAATATTCAGCGGATTTCGTATATAAATGAGTCCTGATAACCAAAAATTGATTTATAATTTATCATGTGCTTGTCATAGAGTATAGTAAGAGTAAAAATAATAGAGAGAGAGAGAGAGAGAGAGAGAGAGAGAGATTTGATATGATAGAAATATGTGATACTATACTACATTGTTGTATAAAATATAAACGTATAGATCCTGTAGTTTTATTGCTCACAAGAACTCATTATTAAAATTCATTTTGTTTTGTGAATATAATTCTTATCATTGATTTTTAATCGCAAATGCAATTAATTATATTTTTCTATACATCATTGATATATTCTATATTATATTTAGTTTATTATATAGATTTATATTGCAATATCAAAACAGGACCTTTCTTTATGAGTTAGACAATTTTATTGTTTATCTATTTTGTTATATAATTTATAATATAAAATATATTTTATTGTCTATTTTAAAAATATTACTAAAATAAACTCCTTTAATTTTTAAATATATAAAATTTATGCATAAAATGAAGATTTAAGATATGCCAGGAGAATATATGTTTATGAATAAAATATATTTACAAATGGAATATTTATTACACAATTTAGATAAATATAAATCAAATAAAATTTATATCTATTCTTTGGTTGATATGATTTTATAGTTTAACAAGAAATTCATAATATTGTTGACATATTCTGGGAAAATGTTCTTAACATTTAAATTATTATTTAGAAATGAGATCATTATTTTTACTCTTACTATACTCTATGATATATACTTTACATGATACTATTATATATGATACTTTACAGTGTATATCAAGTATACTGTATATTAAAATTTAATAATTAAATGTATAAATATATTTACAATATACTATTATTTAATTTATAGAATAAACTATGTTGTCATATAAATTAAAATTACAAGTTATATGTGATTATGTAAGTTTTATTGTTGGTAAACTACAACGATAAATATTATAATATGAAATAGATTAAATACCTGATAAAACATTCAGAAATAGATTTGGAAGTTGTGGAAGTTAATTTGCAGTCACTGGTAGTTTAATTTAGCTGATAAGCCAATTTACTTTCATAAAAAATAGTATTATCCAAAATTTACTTATAAAATAACTAATTTTTATAAAAATTTCTTTAATTAAGATATAATTATAATTTAAATACAAACAAACAAATGTAGATAAACTTAGAAAACTATCATTATTATTTCTAATTACATTACGAGCACAAAACGTACATTTTTAAGACCACACGTCACATCACTAAAGTGTAGGCAAAATAATTTTATGTATAATAAACTAGAAAGATTAGTATTTTTCATTCAATCTATTTAAATTTATAAACTTTAAATTTGTTTTGTATTTGCGCACAACATACAAAAACCATTTTTTTAAAAACTTTACTTATTATTTAAATTTTCACAAAATAAACAAATATCAAAGAAAAATATAAACACATTATAAAAACAAATTATTTAACTTTATTTAATCTTTTATACCATAGTATATTGTCTCGAGAATATTAATCCATCCATGAATAGTGATTAAAACAAATAACAAATACTACAATCTTTTTGACAAAAATCATTTTTCCTTTTCAATGATTTTGTTGATTATTACGAAATGTAATGAATATTAAACACAATAACTGTTTGGTTGTGCGAGGAGTTGAAGGAAGAGAGTAGTGTCTGACAAAACCTATGGTAAGATATGATAGGTATGGGTATGACTGGGGAAACAAAGGCTATAAACACCCATACCAGCAGTCAGTATCTTATGTTTGGATGCTTTAATACCTTGATGTTACTCCACCAGTGACTGACTCTTGTATGTAATATCACTTGTGGTGGCACTGGAAGGGCAAACACCAGTACCACCACTACTACCACTCTATGGGTACATAACCGGCGCTCTGGCGTACATAAGAGGTGCACATTTGTTTCACTCAAACCATAGGTAGAGATCTTTTTTTCTCTACCGGTGCCGGTCCTATCGTCTGAACCACATATCCAACAGCTATACCTGTATATACCGATCATTCACACCATCGCAATACGTTAGTATGTCTGCAAAGGTAAAAAACACTGGTATTTGCTGTGTATTTAGTGTACAGTCTAGTGAAAGTATCTCTCTCTCTCTCTCTCTCTCTCTCTCTCGGGTGCGTTGTGCCCCGGTATGTGTATGTATGTGTGCTCTTCTCAATAGTCACGCTTGGGTACGGCCGTGTGATGTTATAATAAAGATATGGTAGTTTTGGTTATTATACAAGTGAACATGTACAACAACATTTTCAGCATCATATATTGTATTTCACAATAAAACACACTAAAATACAAAGGGACATTTTATATAAATAAGATTATTAATAAAATTGTAAACATTTAATTATTTTTGGAATTTATAAATTATTTTCATTTGTAATAATTTTAAAATTAATAATATTTTCTAAACCTATGTAAATTACATATAATATTGAATATAAAATATGGACAAAGCTGTACTTATTAGAAAATGTTTAACTTATTATGAAAATTAGAGACAAATTATTGTAATTGATACCATACACAAACTATATATTTTAGATTTAAACATGGAAATTTTGGTGATTAAACTTTTCTTAAATATTTAATTAAGATATATATTAAACATTAAATATTTTTAAAAATATAATTTTTATAAAATATACGTATTTGTGTGCTGACATTGAAAACAAGTTTTTTATTTTCTTACTTATACTTTACAATAATATTCATTTATACAGTTTTTTATAATGCATTTGCAAATAAAACTCG